ATACATTAAGTGATGTACTATTATTATAACTTGCATTTGAATTTGAAGAATCCTTGGTTGACTTTGCATATATTGCAGATAAACTAAAATTTTATTAAAAAAAAAAATCAAGTTAATATTAATTCGTATGCCTTTATCTACTAACATATTTATTATTTATACCTTCTAAAATCTATATCATAATCCTTTGAAATATGTCCTAAATAGCAAAATCATAAATATACGAATAAATCATTAGATCACATTGATTCTTTTATTACAAGTTCTAGTCATTATGATAAAGATAATACCTTGATTTGAGTTGATAGATGAGGATCTGGAAGTTAACGGATTTGTTACTCTACACGAATAAATTGGCTTTGAATATTTTTTGGTAAATACTGGACCGATTTTCTTTAATCTTACTAATTCTAATCGTTTTTCTTCCGCTTTTCCAAAGCAATTGTAATTATTATACCAATAATCTAATTTATCATAGATTTCTGCTATAGAAGGTCTTTTAACAGGATCAGAATCCCAACACTCTCTCATTAAGTTGGCAAAACATTCGGGTGTATCCTCTGTGATTTCGGGTCGTTTTCCATTAATAATGTCATTCATAAGTTCGGTATCGGTATAATCCTTCACAAAATTAGTAAAAGGTTTACAACCCGTCGTACATTCCCACATCACCATTCCAAAACTATAAATATCAGATGCCTTAGAAAATGAAGCACCAACAAAGATTTCAGGAGCGATATAAGGAATCATTCCGTATATTTCATTATCTAATTGAGCATTATCTACAGGTTGTGATAAACCAAAATCACCAATTCGACCTTGGATTAAATTCTTTAAATCAGGTTCCATTAATATATTTTCACTATGAAGGTTACGATGTATAAAATCCACGTTATGAACAATTTGAAGCCTAAAAGAAAGAAACAATAAGTAATGATAGTAACGGTCAAGTCATTAATAAATTTAAACACGTAATACCCGGATGAAATGGACTTGAGAATCCTTATTTTAGTCCACCATCCAATACTCGCGAAATTTTTTCGTAAATAATGATGTAAATTTCCATCCCGTGCGTATTTCATCACCAGCATGTACTCATTTGTATTAGGATTTTTCGTAACCCCATGACAATGAAGAATACGTTCAAATTCATGACCAAATTTATTACAATGATAATTCGAATTTAACTAGAAATTTTTTTAGATAAATAAATGAGTCGAATCAAATTAAATTCATTTTTTCGAATAATTATCACCCACCTCATTTAAGAAATACTTTCTAAAATCCCGTGAATTGGAAAAGCATTTGACCGCCACGTTATCCCATACATGACCACGCTTACAAGTTGCTTGATAAATAATACTAAAATCACCTTGCGCAATTTTCGTAAAATTACCGAGACGTGTATATGGAATCCATCCCAATTTCAATCTTGGTTTAGTATATTTTTTTTTAATAAAATCATAAACACTTAACGGGTTGAAATCTACCTTTACATTTTTAATGTAATCGACGATATGATTGTTAATGTTAGCATCAACTTTAATATTATGAAAAAATTCGTCTATATCATCATCTCCACTGCTAATATTTTCAAAATCAATGTTTATAGATACAATCCTCTTGCATTTCATACATTGTGATCGTTCCGAAAATCCAAAAATAATATTCGTCGTTAAACAATATCTGCAACCGGTGTGCGTTATATAACAATCCGGACACCATTTCTGACAGTCAGTTACGAAAATCAAGTTTAAATTACAACCGATACATTTGTAAGTAGTATCCCACCATGGCAAGTAAAGAATTGGAATAGGTTTTTTATGTATCCATCCGGAAGAAATTTGATAACAATTTGAACACAACCCGAACTCAGCAACCAGGAGATTACCATGAAGTACACTTCCACATAACTTACAAAATATTCTATTTTCGTATATATATTCCAAATAATGCGTACCCGAACAATAATTGGTGATCATCTGTCTAAAGTATGAAATTTCCAAGCAAACGTCACGCCATTCTTGAACGTTTTTCGTGCAAGGATCCGAATTCGCATTCCTAATTGCTTTATGTTTATTACATCGTAAATCCAAGTAATCAACCTGATCCCAATAACATTCCCAAGAACACGTATTATCATTAACGATTATGTTTTTAACATACAAGAATAAACAATTTTTACAATATTTTTGTTGAAATAAAGGCGTCTCTGAATATACAACCCCACAACAAAAACAATTATATGCCTCTTGATTAAAGGGAACGAAATTGATTGGTATTGGACTAGATTTTAATTTTGGTGTTGGATCTAAAGTTCCCTCGTTTGTATTCGTAAGTTCCATTTTAATAAAAAATTGTTGAATTTAAAAAATTTGATGAGTTTATATAAATCCCCGACTATGCATTTTCATCATCATATGTTGTTACATATCATTTTCTTTATAGATCTTCAACCTTATGGTTGTCAATCAGCCATAATAAAATTAAATTTCAGAAAATCCGAATCGAAATCGATAATCGTATAAAAAATCGAATCTATTTTGGAAATAAAATAAACTTATATAATTCTCAGCATATGGTGCATTACAATTATTAAAAAGTGTCTAAATATATGGAGTGGAAGTTGAATTAGATGTTTAGTTACAAAATATGTTAAAGAATGTAAATTTGACAAATTATTCACGTCCAAATTTAAATAAACAAATATTAAAATTGTGTAAATTGTATAAGTATTATTAAAAATATCATTCAACTAGCGGTTTTACCCGGGCGATGCCTGGGGTTTCGCTACACGACGTGAAATAGGTGTTGAAAGCTTAGTTTTAGCATATCTATAGCAAATAAATAATACAATTTATTGATGTTTTTTTTTTATAAATAATCCAACCCACTCTAACTCTAACCCTAATCTTAACGTTAAATCATAATTGGTGTTTTTATAAAAACATAAACCCTAATCCTATTATTATTAATTTTAATGATAAATTTAAAATTTTTTTTTAATTTTTTAATTTAATCTATTTATTTTTAATTTTTCTGTTAATTTCTTAATTTTTTTATATCCGCGGTTTTAAATTTTATTAATAATTTTTCTGATTTAATTTTTTATACCGCGATTTTTTATTTTTCGGATTGATATTTTATTGAATTGATTTTTTTTTCCGATGTATTCTTATTTTAATTCTATATAAACAAAAAAAATTGCGAATAACCGCGATTTTTTTTTTAAAAAAATTTTTTTTTTTTAATCGCGCGTTTTAATATTTAATTTTTTTCAGATTAGAGTGTTCTCAAAGCATCTAACTCAATGGATCAATCGATTGTATTCGAGTAATCGAAAATCAAAATCGAATCTTCGAGAAATCTTGAGAAACGATAATCGCGATTAAATCGATTCCATTTTCTACGTGACGAGCTCTTTAAATCTAATATCGAAATCGATTCCATTTTCTACATGACGAGTCCTTTAAAAAAGTATTTACTCATTGTCTTAAACCGAGAATTTCATGGTTCCCGTGATTATTTGAGTCGGAATTGTTTTTTTTTTAACTTAATTTATAGATCCTCAAACTTTTACGTTGATGTCGATCTTTTTTATTTTTCTTTAAAAAAAAATAAATAAATAAATAAATCTGAAATCGAAATAAATATTGGACGAACCTATTTGAACGTTTACACAAAAATTTGACCAATAATATTCGTATCGTATCGTTGGAAAATTTTCACAATTTCTTTTGTTATTTCAATTTTTTTTAAGTGCATGTGATATTTCCACTTCAAACATTCTCGTCATGCATTTCTTATAATTAAATGCGTACACAGCAAAAAAATTAAGTTATGCTGAGTTGTGTCAGACCAGATTTTAGGACACCAACCAAATTTCTATTCGTCTGACAACATAAATAATAAGGCCATTCCACAATTAAACTCAAATCGAAAATCATTGGAAAATCAAAATTTATTTATTCCTAATTACAATTCATAATTCCGAAAATCGGTTGGTCCTAAGCCTTAAATTTAAATTATGATTATGTGGCAAAGTTTGATTTATTTAAGCCCGGATTGATGACATAGTTAGGCTTATGTGCAAAAGATGATTCGGGATCAAATAAGCCTATGGCTTTGAATTTTAATATATTATTCGTCACATCATTGGCTTAGGTTAAACCTTGAGTTGTACGGTATATCATGTGATTGCACATCATTTTTTAAATTAACTAGGTATTAAGATTGTGGCTATTAAATATAAGGAATTTTGCGTCAATTAATGGCTTAATCCCGATCAAATAAAGATATATAAAAAAAAACGGGAAATTTCTCCGGGTATGTTGTATATTAAAAAAAAAAAAAAATCAAATATCAAAATCTTTGAGGCTTGAAAATGATTATAATCTATTTTTTGATCATGGCTTTGGACGATCAATTCACCCGATAGGACGTTTTGTTGTTTTTCTGGAAGCCTCAAAAAAATAAAAAATCTTATTTACGTCATATAACTTACCATTAGTGAAAATGAAAATTTTTGAAAATAGAGAGAAATGTCTAATAAAATAAAAAAAAGATTTTCGTATTTAATTAATTCTAAGGGCTGTGAAAGAAAGAGGCTATTGATCCTTAACTCAAATGAATCATTTTATCATTTCATTAAATTAAAATTTGTAAAAAAAAATAAAACAAAATTTAGTTCCATAATAATAAGCCTCGAATCATTTTATAAATTTCTTCAAGGATTTTTTAAAATCTCAGCCCTTTCAAAAAATCATTATATAAGACTTGGAAATCCTCCTTCGTTAGTTCCTCACTTCACTCGAAGGTTTTAAAAAAAAATAAAAAACAAGAAAGAAAATCAAAATGAAATTCACATCTGCTTTATTAGCTTTTCCGCTCCTCATTTCTTTGGTTAGTGCCGGTAAGCAAAGACCTAGAATTTATTATGATTTTAAATTTGTTTTTTTTTTTAAACTAATCATTTCTTTTTGAATTAATTATAGGAGTACTTAAACGAGATGCCTTAGCCGAACCCGTTCCCAAAGAATATGTCGAACCCCCAACAACTTACGAGACTCCAAAGGAGGAATACAAACCACCCACTCCCGCACCAAAGGAATACGAAACTCCCGCACCAAAGGAATACGAAACTCCCGCACCAAAGGAATACGAAACTCC